AGTGAAGTGTTTGTTTCCAACAACTATAAACCATGACATACATGTTTTTAAAAGTGACATGTGTCATATAGCCCTGTAAGACTGTTTTGTGCTAGAGATGTGTATGAATATATTCTGTACAGCATGTGTGTCTCTCAGGCTGTTACTCAAACCTATCAAAGAAACCCACACAGCACAGAAACCACAATCCACTTAGTGCCACACTTGAACATTCTGGACAAAAGCTGCCAGTTCTGCAGTAAGATGGCACACACATATGCTTAAACAACAGTTTGTGGCAACAAAAACGGGGAATAAAATTCCTTTTTTTGTGTCAGAAGTACAGTAGCTATAAATGCAGTCATGTGTGAAATAACTTTTCATAAACCCCATTTTGTCTGACACACACTCTCCAGTAATCTAAGAAAATCAGACATACACCAGAGTAGCTGAAACACACAACAACGTATCCTTACATGACACACTCAAATGAAATCTTATAATTTTATTACTCCCTCCCACCGTTTGAAGCTGTCTTCCTGCATCAGGTTCCTCAGCGTGTCCATATCTCCGACGTAGGCTGCATTGTGCAACCTCATGTCATCCTGCTCCAGAGGTTTGTCGCAGAACTGCTCCTGGAGCCATTCCTTTAGGTTACGGCCTGGTGAGGACACACAGATAATGAACTGTTAAACTATGGCTTGTTGTGCAATTCATAACCAGTCTATCATATCTTTAAACAAAAAAAAAAGCTGATGTATGCTCTGCTTGCATAATTGATTTTTCAGCTCCCTCAGCACAGATGTCCAAGAAAGTGAATCCTGCATTTGAGAAAGCTTTTCTCACTGCATATTGTTTTGTTACGTAAGTGTACAAGTGTCCCTGCTGAATGTAGGAAGAATCATTCTGTTTTAAAATTGCTCATGTTTCTGGAGAGCCTCTTAAACTCTTGTGGACAGCTGGTGGTTGACTGGGCTCCAATGGGACCCAGTATTTACAGTACACAGTAACAAAGACACACAGAACTGAATCATGACCTCTCTGACACAGTTAGACATTTAACACAAGCTTCTAATTGCAGGGTTATAGTGTTAAATTCAGTGGTGTAATGTAACTAAGTACGTTTACTCAAACACTGGACTTACATTCAGATTTGAGGTACTTGTACTTTACTTGAGTGATTTTTTTTAATGCAACTTTCTACTTCTACTCCACTACATTACAGGGAAATGTTGACCTTTTCACTCCACTACATTTGTCTGACAGCTTTAATTACAAGTTACTTTACAGATTAAGATTTTTGCATACAAAACATACAAAGAGCTTTTTTTGTTATAAATTAAACTACCCATCAATATACGTACAGCTGAAATGATGGCAATTAATCAGTTATCTGACAATTTTTATAGTTCCAGTTTCATGGTTCCAGTTTCACAAGTATGAAAATTTGCTTATGACTTTTGTACTATTGGTTGGCCCAAACAAAGCACGGTGAGGGGGTCAGTTTGAGCTCTAAAAAGTTGAGATGGGCATTTATCACTATTTTTCAATCGATTAAATGACCAGTGTGTAGGATTTCATGTGTAGGTTGGTTGCAATCTGAAACTCCCTATAAATATTATATTCCATTCATGTTACACACTGACTGGACCTTTAATGGAGAAAATAAGTCCTATACAAGATAGTTTGAAAGTAAAATCCTGTTGACACATTAATTCACAAATAATTATGATCTAATGATACTACAGTAGGTAACAGACAAAGGAACCATGTTTCTGAATTGAGTACTTTTACTTTTGATACCTTATCAAGTACATAAAGTACTTCTCCCTGATTATAGGCTACTTCTTCCTTTAAGTAACATTTTCAATGCAGAACATTTTCTTGCAACATTTTCAGTGTGATATTACTACTCTTAAGAAAAATATCTAAATACTTCCTCCACCACTGCTTAAATTGCATTTTACTGTGTAGGTGTAACTATTATTGTGTCCTGCATTTGTAGTAAACATGAATATGAGCTCTAATGGTAATCCTATTGTCCTAATAATCCTCTCTCATTTGTATGCAATGAAAACAAAAATGATGCAATGAACACACTATAGATATTTAGGGCCACACCTTATCACACAGGAGTCCCCCCTCTGTAATAGTACATCTGTATTATTGAAGCCAAGCTCATTGAAGCCTGTTTTTGTATCTGCTGCCCCTTTACACACACAGTGCACATGGACAATGCATGCTGCCCCTGACAGGACTGATGAATCACCGTCCAGTCAGCCGTGGTTACCTGCAGCGGTGGCACCGGGCAGATCGGAGACAGTGATGAGCGGTGGGAAATTACCACTGGGTGGGTCGTCCACATCAGCTTCTGGACCGTCGGCCATGCTCCTGAAATGTCACACCGTCAACCTGAAACTTAGGGCTTCGGCAGTAGACCGAAACAGGTCCCCCCCCTCCCTGCCCCCCAAAAAACAAAACAAAACACGGGAAACACAACGATCTGAATCAAACAAGAGACATCAAAATAAACAAACGTGACTGTGTTGATGACGGAGAGTGCACTGGGCTACTTCCTGGCTGCGCTCAGCTGGGCGGATTTAAAGGGGAAACGACGCTTTAAAATGCCTGAAGCAGTGTGAGAACATGAGCTTTTTATCTGGATAAAAACTGTTTTTAACACCTTAGAAAACGCTGTCAAATTAATTGCAAATGTTTAAATACACAGGTAAAAAAAATAAAATAATGTCCAAATCCAATGTCCAAAACACAATGTCCTCTGTGGTGCCCTTCCAGTGGAGAACACATGATACATTGGCCCCTGTGTTGGCTTCTATGTGCCTCTAAATGGTTCAATAATTAGTTCCCTGTGTGTTTAATCTTAAACCAAAACACTACATAACCCTAACCCTAATTCTTTTTAACAAGGACATTTTCAGTGCTGCTTTTGTATGCGTTTACATTTAGGAGAATCTCACCAGAATTGCTCTACACAGGGTTTTAGACATACTGAGGCCCAATAACGGAACTTTCTAGGGGCATTTGGGGCTTATGCAGCAAAGCAAAGTTATTCTTAGGCAATTATTATACAGCTATACTTTATTGTATGTACTGAGGTCAAGAGCTTGGTGACCTCTGGAGAGTAAGGCCATACTCACCAGAGGTGGCCTTATTCAATTAGAAGTAAGGGTACATATATTGACAGACTCACTACTGGTGAGTACTGGGCCATTTCAGGCACTGGTTTGGAACCGATTTGCCATAAATGTTTTTCCCTGCCCCTAAGACAGCTTGTGTCCGCAACTTTTAAAGCCTTCTCCACACTACCAGGAATACAATTCTGTGGAAATACTCAGTCCTTTATTATTATTTATTGGCTTAAAATATGTCAAATTTAAATACAGTGTAACTTAAAGTTGTAGATAATTCACCCAAAATTGTGAACGTAACACCTAGAGGACATGTCATAGTTATGTCATAATAACACAAAGTAGGAGGATATTATATTATTACATTATAAATTAAAAACTGATACAGACCCTAAATTCTGCTTGAAAAAACGCTGAAATATAAAACAATTGTTGCACTCCAACATATCTATTTTAAGATATGTTGATATTTATGAAGCAAGCCCAGCTCCTGTAAGGTCATTTTAAAGGTCAAAGAGTTGTAATAAAAGGGCTTGTGATCCAAGTAAAGGAGTTTGGACTTAACTCTTACAGCTTCATACTGTATATTTATGTCACGTTCATGTTCAGGGGGATTACGATTAGTTGCACATACTGTAGGCAGCCTGGGTAACTGTAAAATGAACACCTACAGTAAAGGGTGGGTAACATACACCAGGGAGGCACGCAGCCATGGCTCTGTGCTGCTTAATGACAGATGAACCTTCGACAGTGAGGCCCTAGTGGTGCTCTAAAAATAAATAGACAGGTCAACAGTGCCATGTGTCCCCTTAAGTGGACAGGTTGCTTACAGCCTTCCAGCTCTATTATGACAAGAACATTTAAAAACAATTCAATGTATTGATTCAATTACATTTATGAACTGATTCCAGTTCAGCTAGCAGTGATTTGCAGCTCATGCCACTGACTGCAACCATTTAATAGTAATTTAATTAAAGCAGGGCATAACAAATAGTCAGATTTGTCAGGTTATTCTACCACTCCAGACCCTGGCTATGTGTTTTATCCACACAAAGTGTAGTTAATGCTCAAGATTTAAGTTTAAAAAGTGATTAGGCCTTTTAGTTTAGCCTAACATAAGGATTAGTGGGTAACTAAAGGCAACAAAGGTGAAAGTGAAAGATGTAGTCAGTCATTAGCAGCATGGTCCATTGTCACATTCAAAGGGAAAAATCAACAGAGGCCTTATTTAATAGCAAAGAGGGAGTTACGTCTTAAGTAACTTCTTCTTTGAGGCACCCCACAGTTAAAAAGGAAACGCAGATGGACAATGGAGCTGTCCTTTCCTCGGACTGTGCTGGTTTTTAATCCACCTGTTGAGACTGGGGCCAGCTTCTTTGCTGAAAGCAGGTGTCCGTTCCTTCTGCAAGGGGCCTTCAGCTAAATCTCCGACTTGCATCACAAATGCTCCGTCCAAATCTTGCTTAATAGCTGTTAAAAAGGCTCCTTCCCAATAAGCTTTGTGTGTGTTGCAGCTGTTTTGTGGCTTGCCAGAGAAAAGTTGCTGTTAATGTTACTTGAGGGTCTTAAAAAGAAAGTTAAATGTTTTACTTCTGTCATGTTGGACTGGGCTTTAAAAGAAACAAGTCTCGTTGAGAGTGTGACTTGGCCGTGCCAGACGCCACAAGGACTTCACATGAACTCGTCAAAATCACAAACCAGGGTCATTTATCATTTCACTCATAATGTAACTCGAACAATCCAGACTCTCTCATTAAGTTTCCATTATAAGGCTAACTTGACTTTGAGCCTGTAGTTTTCTCCTAACACAGCTCTCAGCAATACTTACTACTCTCCACGGAGTCTTAAAAAAACGAGAACAGGAGACAAATATTTATTGCAATGTAACCATTTATTTCACTCCACTACAAAATTATAGAATTATTTGAACTATGATACAGTCTCCACATATACATAATGTACAGTTTAAAAAGAAACAGAGGATATGATACAAATAGTTTACAGTGTGAATAGTCCTTTCATGTCAAGACATATGAACATGCAGGTTCTCACGTTTCCAGGAGTTTTTGCTTTTATTATTTTAAAATATGACTTTTCAATAGTATATTTTATGGACTAAATATAATACTGATATGAAAATGAAATGAAATCAGACTAAATGAGAGTACATTTTGACTGAATCCTCATAGCAAATAGCTTTCATAAAGTTCAGTCAGATGAAAAGCATTAATATAGATATTATTCCCACAAAAACAACGCAGTGTGACCCTTTTTGAAAGATGGATGCAGTGTAATTTTGCCTATTTTTCCTGTAGCCCATGTCAACAACACATACAATTTACCAGTCAGAAGGTATACATTTCTGCTCACTGTCCGTTCTACTAGATTTACCGTTTCTAACTGTATTTATTCTTCACTATTGCCGAAGATCTGCTCTGTAGTACCAAGAGTTTTAGGCCATGACATTAGTAATGTCACAGATCATAACAAAGATGTTGTGCCAACTATATCCTATTTGTAACCAAATATTCTGACGAGGCAATGGAAGTGGAAACTGTGTTGGGACAGAAAGTATATGTTTTGGAGGTCTTTCAAGAAAATATAGAGTCTAGCTCTCTAGTATATAACTAATTTTGATACAACGGGCATTATATAAAAAAAAAAAAACAATAAACAAAACATTATTTACAATCGTGGATTACATTCATTGATCTGAACAGGACGTCACAGCAAGTGTTCTTTTATAATTTCCTGTAGACACTGGCAGTCTACAGTGTATCTTCTGGGAGACAAATCTGACAGAAGTAGCAACTGCTCCTGTATAAGTAGTAACAGCAATGTAAAATGAATTACATTGGTACTATAACTCAAATATGGTAACTGCATTTTCAGGGTGAGACAGGCCACTATGCATGGGATCACGACTGACTAGTCCGCTCTTGTTTTGTTATTTTCACTCACATTACAGCGAGATGAATATCAGAAAATATTTCGAACTGGGACAGTGGTTACTCTCATGTCTCTACCAGCCTCCTTCTGCAATTATCAGCCTAGTATTGCTTCATATTTTCATATACTAGCTACATCTGTAAATCACATTTATTAAAGTCACAAAAGCAGTTAGTAAAATATTGTCTTACTATTTTTTTTATTATAAGGAAGTTCAAACAAAAAGTTACCATCTGACCAAACATTGCCTCCATCCCAAAAAAAGAAGAAACAGTTTGGCAAATCCTACAGTAGACTGGAGGGACCTCCATGATGGCAGCTATCCTGCATGCTCACTACAAGGAGAATGGACATTTGCTTACGTTTCCCTGAAAGTACATTAAATCTGTGTGCCTATGTTGTGTTTTATAAGACAGGTATAAGAGACAGAAGAAAGACTTATTACACTGCTTTGCTGCCAAAAAGCTTTTTTCTAAGCAACTTGAAGGTATCTTTCTTAATCACTCTTATCAAAGTGCAGCGGTGCTTAAAAGGTGGAAGAGTGAAACAGATAAACTTTACAAGATGGGATAAGGTTGTTGTCTGCACAGGAAACAGTTGCTTATCTTTAGAAAAAGAAAAGATCTGTATGATGGGAAAGGTCCAAGGACAAATTAAAACCACAGTCAATCAATTAGGCCATCAGGACTCCCCACATGTTCTAGATTTCTCTATGCAAGCCCTAGAAAATGTATTTGAACTTTCCTACTGTATAATATTTAATTACTGCATTAATCAGCATGGAAAAAAGCAAAAGAACCAGATCACAAGCCTGCTCACTACTTAAATCTAACTTCACGTCCTATGTACCACAGTGGCCAAGTCCAAAGTTCTCACAACCAGGAGAAACAAAAAGTGAATCAACATGTGCCACACTCTAAAGAACTTTTTAAAAAGGTTAATTAAAAAACAAGGATTTAAAATTTGGTCCAGTGCTTGCTGATTGTACAGCAAATTAAACTTTAATGTTACTTATTGTTCAATTTGGAATATAGAGGGCTCTTGATGAGCTCATCAGGCATTAAATACAACTATCTAGTCTAACTTCCAAGTCATGAGCTGTGCACTGGCTCATTCCACAAAGGCACAATTACAGAAAAGCGGTAAAACCTCAAGTAAGTTTTTTGTGCAGAGCAGGAAGATATTTTTTATTTCATCATTTATTTATCTGACTGTCACAGCAGATGTTGGAATAGAGTCAGACCTCCAAATCATCATATGGAGCTTTTATCTGACTTAAGTTTGGGTCCATCTCCTTTTCTGACAAAAACCCTAAAAGTGCAGTATTTGGTCCCATCTCCAAGGAAAATGGTCTTACCATTGTTCTGAACAAGAAACAGTTCCATCCCTAGATCTTCAGTGCATTTTTTAGGAAAGTTTTTATTTGCAGACCTTGTTTTTCTCCTCACTTCAGGTTCTGGAGCTGAAGTTGATTCCAGTCACCATCTTCTGGATCTTCTCTTCATTCTTCAGTATGTTGGACCTTACGGCGCAAATCTTGTCTTGCTGGTCCTTGATCAGCTGCTCCAGCTCAGCTAGTTCTACTTTAAGAGGCTCCACTGCCCTGTCTGTCGCTCTGCAGCACAGAAAACAAAACACAGAAGGGATGATTACTTGCTTACATGCAATAATATAGAAACAGGTGGAGAAATTGTTCACGGTGACCAGGAAATACAGTAACAGAACAATTAGCTGTAAAGAAATCTCACTGAAGTGGCCATCTCAGAGTTGCTCACCACTTTCAATTTAAGATAACAAAGTATGACTAAACATGCCATATTAATATGTAAAATGATGACATGCACATATGAGCTAAAACAAATAGGAGGTAGAGGTTTGACAGATATGTAAGGAATTTCCTGTGAAATAATATTACTTTCTGTCACCACATAAGTTAAAGTGTGTATGTGCCAACCCCACCTCTGCTCCTGCAGCAAGGCTTGTGCGTGCTCTTTGTTCTCCCGCCGCCAGGTGTTCAGTTCAGCCTGCATGGCGTCCATGTCCTCCTGTATGTAGTCCATGATCTTTCCCAAAGGCAGGGTGCTTCGGCACACCGTCTGGATGGATGAGCGGAGCCTCTCTATCTCCCGCGTCACCATGTCCCGCTCTTTCTTCCGCGCTGCTTCAGACACCACGTTCTGGAAGTGAAGGTGATGAGGTGAGGTGTGAAAGAATACGAACATTAAATACAATTTGAGGAGCATACGTGTTGGCATTTGAGGAATTTTTAAACAGAATTTCGTAACCAGTTTATGGTCATTAAGACTTTTATCTAGAAGAACCTAAGATGTTTTCCTATAATGTGCATGGCATAAACTAAACACCATCAAACAGCTGTATGAACACACACAAAAATCACTAGTGTGTCCCTTGACCAAAACATAATAAACCCTCTTTAGGAATTCTACATTTGCCAACAAAGTCTCAAATGCCCAGAACCAGAGCAAGGCTGCATTTAGTGGTTTAGGATTTCAAGGCTAAAAATGTTAGGCAGGCATTCTACCAACCTAGCTGTATATATAAAGATCAAACGTGTGGCTGAATTGTGTTGGCCAAAGCAGGGGGACTGGTTGATGAAGGCCTCCAGTGTATGGTGTGTGGTTGGGGAAGGGGGGTTCACCATATCCCAATTACACTCAGTCCCTCGATGGCGAAAAGGAGGGGAAGGTATCAGGGAAGGACCTCCCTTGGCAGGGAGCAAACCCAAGGATGTTTGCTCAGCTGGGCTTTGCAAGGCCTCCTTGGTTGTGTGTGTGTGTGTGTCGATGCGAAAGTGCTCAGTATTGCTACTCTAAAGCCACACACACACGCAAACACCAAGCAGAGGTTCAGGCGAAGCATACAGCGGACACACGCAGCCCCCACCCACACTCTTGGTCTTAAAGTCTTGTTTATTTTAGTAACAGGTTATGGCAGTGGGGTTATTTTACTACAGTATTGAGTAACAACTACTACACTGATGCCTCCTTTTAAGTTCAACTCTTGGCCCAATTTCTGCTATTTGGCTCCACAGATGGGAGCACCTGTCTTCATGAGGCAGCAGGAATCATATTTGCGACAGTGTGTAAACTAAATGACAGCTTCCTCTTCAAAACACACAATCTGTCATGCCTGCTCGGGTAGCTGGCCACATGTGCTTGGCATAGCTGGCACATATAGCATTTGCTTTATCAAGCAGTCTCTTAAAACAAACCAAACATCTCAGTAATTACAATTTGGCAGCTCGACTAGATAAGACCACACTGCAGAAATGACACATGACATCTTAGTTTGCTGTTTTGTTTCAGAAAGTAAGTACAAATTTCTGACAACCTCACTCTCTGTTATCCGTTTGTGGTGGTTCAGGAGTGTGAAGGTTGAAACGCCTTGGCCCGGCGGTCCCCTAACAAGGTGGGTGGCTTTCCACTGGGTGCTGTGAACCCTGCAGCTAGACAAACACTCTACGGCTCATTCGGCCTGCCTGGCTGCGGTTTGGTCTGCACGGCGCAGACACAACCCATGGCTTCATTCTATTTGCCGTCCCCTTGCTATCTCGCCCCCCCCCTGCCCCCCTCTCTGTTGGAAAATAAAAAACTTGGCGTGAAAACATGACCCCTGGTTCGTGTGCACTCTGTCCGGGTGGATATAAATCACAGCTTTATGGAGGTCTCTGTCGGGTTCTACGAGACCTGGGTGCTCCTAGTTTTCCTTTTTCTCACCCAGATCACAGAACAATATTTAGATGTGGTGACCGCAGAGGAGCAGGAGGTGAGAGAGGAGGTAGGGGGACAGGTTTTCCCATTATCTCAGGCAGTGATGAAAGCCCCAGGCTGTGGGGAAGACACAGGCTCTGGCTGGTGCTTAAAAGGGCAGGTGGAGTAGTAGCAGGAGGTAGTTTAAAGTGTTTTATACCTACAGTATCCTCTTGTAGATCCAGATGTGTTTATCTTGTTAAAGTACATAAATAAATACTAAAGAAAATATTGTTTCCATCAGCACTTCCATTGTTGTTGGACAGCAACACACTTGACGAGTTGAAATCTTTCATTTTCACCACAAATTCACAGCCCTAATCAGCTTAATTAGGAAACGCATGCAAACATGTGATTTATGGACTGCTTATAAGGGTTTTCTGATGCAAGGGGAAAACATTCTTCAAAGTATTCTTTGACAAGAAACATGAGGTGCATGCATTGAACCTGTCAGCTGCAGATCAACCTCAAGGGGATTATTAGCTGGGAAAACTATGATTTAGACACTAGTTGACTAGTTTATGGCAGGAGATCAGCTTTAATCATGAGGAGAGAAGCTTCATTAATTTATTCATTCATTACTTTTCATTAATCAGCTTCAAAACAAGAGGATGAGAAACGAATGCGCAAAGCTCATTAGAGCTGCTTTGCCCACAATCAACTTGAATCAATTTAAACTATAGTGGTTACAGTAGTAGTCATGCCTCTTTATGAACTCGAGTGAACTGCTCTTACATCATCACAAATATGAAAGAAATAGAATTTGCCAAGGGTGCGTAGATCATTAAAGCCCACATACAACAACCTTTGAGTTTCTGGGAACAATTCTTTTGGCCACACATTCTGATGGTTTTCACAATGTGTTTCTGTAGATCTGAGAGGTGAGACAGGGAGTGAGGCATAGGATGAGAATTGGCTCTGGACATTGTTTATGGGCTTCCTCACCATTTTTCATAGAAGGCCATTTAAAAGTCTAGCTAGATCATAAAAATAGCTTGGAGTCAGTGAGGTGAAGAGAAAAGCTTACGGCCACTGAGGTTACAGGATGTTGTTGCAAGGTCACTGGGGAGACAACTGAGATCACCACCCTGGGCTATGGGGTGAACTGAACGGAAACTTCCAAAGGGACCACTGGCTACACTGCAGTAACTGAAAATGGAAAGTGTTTTTAAATTATTTATTTAATCATTCTAACGTTTTCATGGAGACAAAAAGCTAATCAGAAAGGTTTGAAAATAAGACTTCTGATCATAAACTGTGCTGTTGGAAGACACATTGTAGTTGCTTCAGGTAGGTACTCCTCCTAAGCCTGACCAAATTCCAATATGACCTCTGCAAAAGTAATATGACTAATGGAATGCCACAGGGCCATTTCCTTATGTTTCCACAAAAAACGCTGGATGTTTATGAAGACACAGAGGTCTGCAGAGAGGAGTATTTATTTTCTTGACAATTCTGCAGAGAGTATTCTGGCCCTTCTCCTTCGTGACTCTCACTCAACAGCCATCCATTTGTATGCCACAGGGTTTATTTATATATTACAAACCTTCATCAAGGCTAATTTGACGGGGGCAAAGAAAAGGGGGGAAAGAGTACACAAAAATTCTTATGAAAACGCAGCTGCTGCAAGGGGCAGATTCTGTCTAAATAAAAAGAGAAGTATCTTGGAATAATATACAATACCGCCAAGGGGTCATGAGGAAGGTCATCCCCATAAATATACAGCAAATTCTTCGGTCACACACACCGTGGTGGGACATGGCAAAATACAATCATCTGACTGTTTAAAAATTCCCTTTATTTATATCGGTGCAGCAGTGGGGCAACTATGCACCGGCATTAACAATAGCGAAAATCAATTCAGAAATGACAAAGAATATAAATTACAATGGGAATACTAACATATAGAGTGGACTTAAATAAAATATACAAAATGGTCCAAAGGCCAACATATATGAACTGAACATGATGTTGGATGTTAAATCAGGGTGGTTTGTGACTCATTCAGACAGTGTTTTGATAAACTTTGGTGTTTAAGAAAATGAATTGCAGCAGCTGAAATTTCAAACCAGTCATACCACATAGAATAAGGAAGCTCAATATTTACATTTTTGACCCTGCGTGTTTTACCGTGATTACATGAAAAAAACGACTCCATTAAGCTGACCTCTCCACCCTTTCATGTCTGGAAGGAAGTCATTATAGTTCTTTATACAGCTGACGAGGCAAGGCCAATAATGATGGAGGGGTGGACTCAACAGTTCCTACGTGCAGACATACCTGCTCTAAGCTGCCTGTGAAGACCAGGATACCTCGAAATGAAGGTTCGAAAACTGAGAGGGCTGCATTAAGGAAATCAGGATAAACTCTGCAAGGCTATGCTCATGTTACATAAAGAGCTCTGCTGTTTTGGATGTTTTGACTGTGTGTGTCTGTGTATATATGTTTGGTTGAACTTTTTTAGACACATTATTTTAATGAGAAGTGTTGAGGTGGGCAGACAAATGTAAAAACTACATTTAACAAACACAAACATGTAAAATTAGTTAGATGCTGGGGCAAAAAATTCCTGTCAAGCTATTTCAGTTTACTGGTAGCTAAACTCACACAACTTCAGGTGCGAGTTACGAGGGATGATGTCTGAGGCTGCAGTTAGGAGGGGATAGATCAGGGGCCTTTCTGCATGAGTGACAGTCCAAAACAGAGCATCCATCAGAGTCAGGGTGGTCAGCTAGGAGGGGATACTGGGAGTGTATGCTTCAGTGAAGAGGACCACCCAAAGCAGACAGCGTACGCCACCTCACGCCATGGAGTACAGACCAAACTGTAAGCTTCACACTGATTCACACTCCAAATAATGATGAAAGAGGTCTTTCTTTCTGGCTGATAAATAAACTGACAGAGGGGAATGCATGAGCAACAGAAGTAATGCGTCACCTTGAAAAAGACGGTTTATCATGTCTAATATTAAGTCTAAATCAAAGAGATGATGAGAAGAAAGAGGAACACGACCTGTCTCCTATGTGCACTGGAGTTTTAATGGAGGGTGTTTAGAAACGAAATACAGCAGAATTGAAAATCTGGTTGTGCATTGTCTGTTTTCTGGAATAACCTCACCAATAAGTCACAATAAATGGAATAAATCCAGTGTGAACAGACAGAACAAGACTGCTCTAAAAGTTGGTTCCCAAGATGGCAGATACCCTCAAACTGTACACAGAACAGAGAAGTCTGTAATCAAAACAATTTAAGCATACCTAAGATATTGAGCAGCCCCAGAAACAAGCTCTTTTTGCTCCAGACATCTTGATGTGTGTATCAAGTGTGGTCTGTTAGAGGCCATACTTGCTTGTCTGGTTATTAGCCCTTCAGCTTCACTGAAGGGGAACATTTTTGTGGTTGCAAGGCGGTGCAATTACACCTCTCTGCTCCATTTGTTTATATCTTTCTTTTGATAATAACCAGTGTTGCATTTGGCATTTCACTGTGGTTAAAACACTCACCCTGGGGAGCAAAGTTTCCTGAAACAATAGCTGATAGAGATGTTGGCGAGGTTTACCATGAGTCTTGAGTCACTGATAAAAATGAGTTGCAGAGAACTAGTCTGATACTGCCCTCTAGTGGAGACTACTGCTACTACAAGTGTACATACCTGTTCTTTAGATTTGGGGGTGGATGGGGACAATTCATAGTCTTTCTTGGTCTCAAGGATCTTTTTCACAAGGCCACCTACAGTGACAGAAACAATGAGAAGAAAGTTAATTCAGAGAAGAAGAAAATCAGGCTTTTTTTTTTATTGCTCTTTAAAAAATAAAAAATGAGACCATGTACCATGTTTGTCTTCACTGTCAAGTTCTTGTGCAGGTTCCTGTAATAGAAAAAACAGTGGATAACTATTCAAGGCTTATGTTTTCATTGGTTGAACCACTTGCTGTTCTAGTCACTTACCACCTCCATCTCAGGAGCATCTGTAGGTGGAGGTACCGCCTCCTCCACAACAAATTGCTCATCTTCATCCTCCTCATCCTCAGATAGCCTCTTCCCATCCATGATGACTGGTGCTGAGGGCTTGGCACTGGACAGCCTGAAAGACAAGAAACAAGTTTGACTCATTTCTAACTGAAACCTTATATAGCATATACTGTATGAGAGACATGTTCCAGCCTGTAGACAGCTTTATCCAAAGTGACTGCTGACTGGTTAGACTTGCTCTACTTGTTACCTTATTACACAGTTACAGACACCATCTTTCATCCAGTGTGTTTACTACATTTGGTTTAGGAATCTGAGTAGCAATCCATCTTTCATCTCTCCTTTCAGCAGGAACAGCGTTCAAACTAAGAATGCATTCACAAAGACGAGGAGGCTTTTGTCCTTGCCTGTATAAATTAGAGTTATGACGTTAGTGAATATGTGTGGTGAATTCACCTCTCAGCTGGGGTCACGTCACTGTAACTTTCCTGCCTCTTGACTCGAGGAGGTGCTGGGCGAGCACTGCTGGGTCGTGGTATTCGCCTGTTGCTGGAGGATCAAAGGATTACACATAGTTAAATAAGCGGTTAACCTAACAATTTTACAACTAAATATGTTTGCATTTATACTTATTATATAATTAGAATTTCTATTTTGTTTCACAGGCTCTGTTATTTTTTTCTTGACTTATTTTACAAGCCAAATTCTCTGTTAACAGCTCTCTGCCAAATGTCTACTTTGTGACAGCCACACTGAGTCATTCAGATTTAAGGATGATAATTGTTGCTCAGAACAATAAACATTCACAGTATTAATAACAGTACAACTGCTATCACACAACGGCCCAGCCAGTCAAAAAACATTCATAATTATTCAAATTAAAGGCCATTATTCAACTGTGTAATCTGGAACTGATCCCGGATTTGGCCTAGGAACAAACTGAAGTTTCAAAAGAAAACATACATAATTTCTAAATAAATAAAGCAATTTGTTACAATCCAATAACATTTGTACTACAGCCTCAAAAAATGCCACATAATTGAATGGACATCTCAACATTCTCAACAAAAACTTCATATGATTTATTTATTAAAAGGCTATTATACCATATTACATAATACTTTGTTCAGGTGTTGATCATAATGTGTCCAACCTGGTGTATGTACATGTTTGACAGATAAATGTGAGAGCAGCTTAAGTAGTGGAAGGGAGATATTTTTTTATAACACACTGTTGACTGTACAGACCTGGGGGCCATGTCTGGTGGCACTGAGGAGCCTGCAGTGTCTCCATTTTCGTAGGGGGCAGGTCTCTGGGCTAACTGAACATCTCCATCTGGGAAATGACAACAATGACTTGTAATTAGCTCAGTGTAATATAACAAAGATTAGACCTGTGCTTAGCATGGTGGATGCTGTCACTTTAGTACTGGTATACACATTTACAAGTATATAGCAATGCCCTTTTCCCCTGGATTTAAGTGCTGCTACTCTGACAAACCTACAGCTAGTTCATAACACTGACACGTCAATTCAACCATATAAATTCACCGTCATGTACTTTCAGATCGAAGTAGGAGATGTGGGATTGATGTGAAGGCTGGCTACTGGATTATATCCGTTTGGATTTAATTTTTAAGGAATTTCTATGAAGTATTAAAACTTTCTGTTTATTTCTTCTGATGTAATTTTTCCATCTATGTTCCTATTTGTTTTGCAGATCCTCAGATATCTTTCTTTTTCTTTTTTTCTTTCTGTACTAAGGGTTTCTTTGAGGAGTTTTTTCTCGTCTTCTAGAAGAGTTTGGGATGGGTCGGGAACCTTTGCTAATGTAGGCCTGTAAAGCCCATTGAGACGTTGTATCTGATCTTGGCATTTACCATTAAACCTGACTTGCTCAACCAAGAATATCTTTGCCCTTAATCACAGAGTGTGTCACTCAATGACTGATTGCACTCACTCTGTGACTCAATGTACAGCCTCAACCCAAAGGAACGCTGACACTTCTTTGAGTCAGATTAGAAGATAATTTTTTCCATGGCTTGTATTTTCAATACTGAGATATTGGGGCAGCAAGTTAAATGTCATACCCAAATCTGGGTTATTTTGTTTATTTACAGGAGTGACTGATTTTGATATTCTCCTTGTCCATTATTGAAAGAACAATGCATTTTAGATTGAGTGCATCAACTCTCTTGTCATGTTAACCCCATTTCCACGTAATAAAAAAAAAATCTTGTGTGAATGTTAAAAACCTTTATACATTTTTAGCATGCAACTGCACAAGAGAGATGAGATAGAGAATAATTACCTCCCTCGCTGTCAGATTCATCTGTTGAGAGCAGAAAAAGACAAGGCATCATATCAGTTTTCTTTCTTATACAACTATGAAAGTCATTAAAGAGACATGTGACAAGTTTGGAGAATGAAAAATAGCGGAACCATACCTCATCTTTTTTTTGTACATATTGTAATTTGTTAAGGAAAGTCTTCTCTGAAACACTTTATTCAATGTCAGTTAGAAGCTTTTTATTGCTTCTGCCAACAGTGAACCTGATGAGTCACTTCTACCTCCCTCTAAGGGAAACTAGTCAGTGATTTCATTAGACAAGTGGAGTGTAAATAGAAATCTGTCAACTGTAAAATCAATTTGGATGTATTAAAAAGCCCTTCTGGCAATGATTAAAGTGCAGCTATTTAGACATTAACTATTAAACATATGCCTCATTGGTATAGGTAATTAGATTAAGGTCTTGAGGGGAGAAAGAGTTGGGCGGTTTACCTTGTCCTCCTACTTTGGGTCTCCGCCTCTGCCCTTTGGCAGATGAAGGCCGAGGTATTCTAGCTGGACTATCAGACTGTGGGAGGAGGAAAGAAAGCAGGAAAAAGATTCAACTTTAGGACCAGAAGCACTGAAAAGTAACACTCACTAACTGTTAGGATGCTGGAGAAGAATGAAGAACCATCCATAATTTTCTTTGGTAAGTTTGAGGTACACTGATGTATGGTATAGTGTTAACTAGTACCAATAAACAAATGATCACTATCACTATTATAAACACTTAAACCATGCATACAGATAGACATATACAAAGTACAAGTTGTAAAGCAAGAAGAGGGGAGAGTTGTTATGGGTTGAACATACAGTATTGTTTAAGTCTAATACCAGAAAAACATAATGAATCAGATATTGGAAAAAATACAACATGATTAATCAACAAATAATCTTTAGTGTCATGCCATTAATATAAAAAAAAACACATTCTAGCATATCACACAAGCAAGAACAACTTCCTTTCAAAAAAGCAAAAATAGCAACAAAGCAAAGCTGGCATTGGAAAAGAATTACAAATAATCGTGCTTGGTAACCAACTGCGTTCCATGTTTGAAAACTGTGTGGTTTTATGCTAAACTGAACATTGCAAGCCTCGCTACACACTGTCAAACCAATATTCAAACTTTGAAATGGCTATCCCACATCTGAAGAAGAAAGTTAAAGAACTTAGTTGTTTTACAGCTGACTCATGGCGCTCAAATATATGTCATCTGTCATCAATAAGTCTCATGGCACATTGGCTAGACTTAAGTTGAGTGTTTCAAAAGTGATACTGAGCCATCTCCACTGCAACAGTAAGTTCTTACCTGGTTTTCAACTGCTTCTGCAGGCTGCACAAGCAAAGAACACAGCATTACGCCATACACTAAATAGTCACATTTATCAATTATACAGATAATGAGTGGAAACAAGACCTCACATGTGGTTATGCACTACAGCCCAAATCCACACTAAACCAAGCAGCCAGCACCCCACGGCCATTGCAAAAGGCACTATATTCTAACAACTCAAATTCTACAATAAACGGGTGGAACTTTCTACTGATTGTGTCTGCGGGGTTGAATACCTCTTCAGCTGAGTTAGGTTCCTTGCAAGAATAAGAGGCACAACATTAGAAAATAAACACCAGGTGTATAAAATCTGATGTTTAATTTAACATGTAAGATCAGTGATCGACTATGTTTCTTGAATTGGCCGAATGGACAACTGGACAACCACGCCATTGTTGCAGATGAGAAAATCAAATGGTCCCAATGATAGACACTATTTTCTACCAAAATATAGAACTTACCGCTGGCACAGGTTTGGCTGTTTTGCTAGGCTCTTCGGGGCTGGGTTTTTGCTGTGGTTCCTCTGACACTCGGGCCTAAGCACAAACATGCACAGGTGATGTAAATAATGACATTTGTTGCTAACTTATAAGATGTGTGAGAGTTTAAGTAGCATACCTTGCTATTGCCACTCTCTCCGTTTTTGTGCCTCTCATCCCCCTCTTTGTGTCGTCCTCTCTCTTTCTCCCGCTCTTTGTCTCTGTCTCTTCGTTTGTCCTTGTCTCTTTCACGGTCTCTGTGAGAATCTCTATCCTTTGTCTTTTCTCTTTCTTTGTCTCTCTCCTTGTCTTTTTCCCTTTCTCGATCCCTCTCTCGGTCCTTCTCCTTGTCCCTGTCTTTTGCTCGTCCTTTGTCTTTATCCTTGTCTCGCTCCCGGTCGCGGCTCTTGTCTTTGTCACGGTCTTTGGTGTGGTGGTCCTGTTCACTGCGGTGGTGCTTGTCAGAGCGCTCCGTGTCACCGTGGTGTTCTTTCTCCCCATCTCTGCGTCGGCTCTCCTGCTCTTTGGGATGGTCTGGGTCCTTCTGGTCCCGGGTCCCGCTGCGCTCTGTAATCTTTTTCTTCTCCTGCAGCAGTTCAAACACATGAGGTGAGGATTTAATGCCAGTCACGGCTACATACAGGGAAACTCATCATTTGATCTTCTCATTGATTTTTAAAACAAAGCCTGCAGTTGTCATGGCTAATGCTAACACACTAATAGCAGTGTGTAACAAATTCCATGACTGAAGAGGACTATAGGCTCTCACCTCTCTATCCAGGTGACGTTCATGCCCCTCCCTATTTTCCTTGTCCTGGGACCTGGAGGTGCTGGCCTTGGTCTTAATGTCCACCTTTTCTCCTGCAAGGACTCGCTTCACTGCATCATCACTGGACATCTGCAGATCCAAGTGCAGAAGAATCATTCAGTTTATTGCAGTAATAATATTAATGAGTAATATTAACTGTTGTTTCATTTCCTGCCTAATATATCCCACCCACTGACAAGTGCCATGATAACAAGATAATCAGTGTTATTCACTTCACGTTAAGTGGTCAAAATGTTATGGCTGATCAGTGTACATGACTGTATATTCTCATATTTATTTATTTTTTTTAAAAACCTGAATTACTATCTCTATTATAACTGTAACCAGGTGTCTTCAAAACGAAAAAAGCCAAAATGTTGCATAAGATCTGAGAGGAATACATTTAAATCACCAAGAATGGTCTACATGACATGATATGAAAATACTGTTAAAAGGAAGAACTATCCCCCAGGCACCAACTCATATGTTTACACTCCACCTCCAGGGTTCAATTAAAATATTTCAAAGTTCCCCCTGAGGTGGCTAGACAATTTTCCAGAGAGTATAATATTTTGATGTGAAAGATAACACACATTGAATTTTCTTTTTATGTAGTGCCATGACTGTAATTGTAAACATAAACCACATGATCGATGAATGAACCAGAGACTTTGGAGAATTGGAGCTAGTGTTATGTGTGTGTGTGTGTGTGTGTGTGTGTGTGTGTGTGTGTGTGTGTGTGTGATATATATGTAACCCCCCAAAAACACAGACCTTGTTAAGGCAGCACTTGGCTATGGTCTGCAGCAGCTCATTGGTTTTCTCGGGCTCATGGCCGGCAACAATGCGTGCTGGCTTTGCCGCCAGGGGCTCGCCACTCACAAGCATCACGACATCTATTGCTTTCTGGAGGAAGACTATCTTTGAGTCCTTGTCCTACAAAAAAAATTAAAAATTCTGTGATGAATAGGAGAGGGCACAGGAGAGATACAAGATAGGATGCGGTTGTGAAAGCAAAGGAACTCCAGTGGGAGTTATGTTGCAACACAGCTTAGGATGATTAAACCCTTGAGATACACATATTCTTGTCCAACAGCAGTTACTCCTAACATGCTACGATTATACATAGCGTAAATAGTCATGCATAGTTGTTGAGTAGCAAACTCGGTGCAACTAAATCCAGTCTGTCCCAACACCCCATTTCTGACTATAATTGACAATTGCAAATTTAACTTAACTTAGATTTGTCTCCTTTCTTGACCAGACCACTTAAACTAATACTTAATATTTTACCTTGCAATGTGTAAATTGCTTTCTGTGGTGCAATGGTTAGCTTTCTGAACATGAAATCTAGCAGCTTCAGAAGCACAGAAGAATAATGAGTAACATGTTGGCTTTTTTAAGGCAGCAGGAAAGAGGAAAAAGGAAAACCTGGATTTATAACTAGGAAACAAATATCTACTCCTCCTATGATCTAACTCTTGCAATCTTGTTTGCATGCACATAAAACAGAGCCTATTCCAGACAGATGACCCGGCTAAGCAGTGCTTCTAGTCTACCAGCCTGCTGCATCTGAGAGGTCTGCCAACTGTGTAACACAAGGACTTGTAGCTGGCGCAACCACCTGGCCCTTCTGTGTAACATCTGATAATAGGCTAGCCTCTGCAGTGTTGATCCCCTTACTTATGACATTTCATTCTGAGCAACACGCACTTGCACAGATGCTCTCAAGACAATTAAGCCCAAAAAACTCCCATCACAGACATCCTGGGTTATTCATTCATTCTGTCTGCCTGTCTACATTCTTACTTTAAAGCCAGTAAAATAAATTTAAAAAATACATCAAATGCAAGAGCCCGAGGCAGCAGTTTCAGTAAGAAAGTAATTGATGGAACACAATGTCAATTTTCAAACAAATGAACTTCACATCTACAGATTCAGCGACACTATGAAAGCATTAACAATCAATATGTTTAAGAAAGCATAGCAGTTGACATATAAATGATGAATAACCATATTTGAGGGTGCTTTCTCTGCTCAATATACCTACACTTTTCAAACTTACACGAAGAAAACGATTTTAAATTTTAAACACAACAACAAATGAACAAAATTCAATTACAGTAACTTGCCTGTTGTAAGGCATCCCAGTTTCAAACACTAACATTTAGCCTAGCATCTTCCTATCCAGAACTGATTTGGGGTCAGCTCTAAAACAGCAGACTTGAGTTCTGACACCTTGGCAGGCCTTCTTAATCACGTCCTGCCAGATCCTCTCACCCAGTGTGTGACACAGGCAGCGTGTAGAGTTACCCCCACACACAGACATCCTCAGACTGTCCCATGTAACACACTGGTGATCTCAAACAAAAAGTAAGGCTGCTGCTTAGGACATAAAAACATAGTCTGTACACAAACAAGCATAGACAAATGAAAATGAGGGGAATACTTTTAAACAAAGAAGAAATATTGCTAAACAGTTTTAACCTGGTGGTCAACTTACCTTAACATTATCAGACTTCATTTCATTTTCTACATAGAGACCTTTCATAAAACCTGTGGTCCTTATGACCTGAAAGTGGTGAGAAATAAAAAGGTTTCACATTAGTTGTCAGACAATTTACAATATTAGGAGTTTCATACACCACAACCTCAGTTTTAAAGTGGCTATCTATGGTGAAAATTCACTTGTTGAATCAGAGGAAAGGAGTCACACATGCCGACACGCTTCCCCTGAATAAAATATGAATGAATCTACAGTGTCGTATTAGACTGCTCAACAAGTAGAGAATGGAAATTAGATCTAACATCAGTTTAGAAAAGCAAAAGAGATTTTACTACGCTTGACGCCTCATCTCAAAGCATAAGGTTCAGTCAATAACTATGGGTTCAGTAATTTAACAAGTAACATAACACAGCCTCCCCCTAGTAGGTAATCTCTGGCCATCTCTTCAACTGAGATAAAAAGCTGCTGAACTAATCCCAAACATTGTACAGTGGACCCCCCCCCCCACAAAAAAAGCAGGTTTTCGGGTGTATCTGTAACACACTCACTATGTATTACCTCCACTTGTTTCACAGTCAGTGAGTAAATATAGCGCAACTCTTATTCTCTTAACTCCACATTATCAAACAGCTGCGATAAGCTGCTCAGCGGCTGAGATCTCAACGGGACGGGTTCAGAAGAACCAGACACACTTATATAAATATATTACATACTAGATACACACTTTATCCGGTTCTTCCACGTTTTGTAGTGAGATGAAATGGCTTTGTTGATCCCGGAGTGGGCTCGGGTCGTGAATAGCAGCTATCACGACGCTGTGCTATAGTGGATGTTACTGACTCGCTGTTTGGTCGACGATTTAATGGTTAAACTACAGGACCACTCTTATTTGAGTGTGTGTGTGTGTGTGTGTGTGTGTGTGTGTGTGTGTGTGTGTGTGTGTGTGTGTGTGGGGGGGGGAAGCAACGGAGACGTGAGACAGGTTGCTGCGAAGTTAACGCTAGCTTACTTCATGCTAACGTTAGCCAGCTAAGCTAACCGACTCGCTTGTGTGAAGTGTTTTTGAATCGATATCGATATCGATCCAGTGGGTCTTTTTCCGATAAGGCGATCACAGGGAGGCTAACGGTCGCCACTGAGACAAACGGCCGCCTGTTAACGTTATCGTAACGGTCAGTCTCACCTCGCTGAAGATGTCGTGTAGGTATCGAAACGGCGGCTTG